GATCATGCTTAGTGAGATAAGCCAGAAAGAGAAAAAAAAATACCGGATGGTTTCACTCATAGCAGGAGCATAATGGACCAGACAGAAAATAACAAAAATAATGAACCATATACCAGAAACATGTTGTGGGGGTGGAGTGGGGAATGGGATCAAAAAGGGGGGGGGAAGGGAGGGAAATGCATGGGACTATGGTGGTGGCACACGGGTGACTTGGTGATGGGAAACCCGCAGGGATTACAATCGAGATGGGAAAAAAATGTGCAAAATGATGTAAAAATAAACTTTTGTAATAATTAAAAAATAAAAAAGATCTAGTTATAAGAAAGCAAAAAAATATTTCTATTTATTAAATTTCTTATCCTGTTCATGTATTGTTTCCTCAGTTTCATTGATTTGTCATTCTGTATTGTATTCATTGAATTTTCTCAAAACAGCTATTTTAAATTCTTTAACAGCTAGAGAGTAAAATTCTGTGTCACTGAATACTGTATTGGAGGATTATTGTTATCTTTTGGTCAGGAAATGTTTCTTTCATGTCTCATGTTCTGTTTCTTTCTGGTTTGAAGTAGCAGAATTACTTAAATATATATTTTTTAAAGATTTATTTATTTATGCATACAGAGCTGGGGTACAGGCCAGAGGGGTAGGAACACAGAGACAGAGGGGAGCAGAACAGACAGATTAATGAAGTACACTGTTGAGGGGAGCGGTGGGCATGACAGGAGAGGTCTGCTGCACCATGTGAGTCACACCTCCCCAACCCACTCCCCAACCCCCCCTAGGATGGAAATTGTGACGGCCAGCATCATAGCGCCACCAGGGAGGGCCCGGAATTCCTTAAATCTTTACTAGTTGTGGCCCTCCCTGGTGGCGCAGCGGGCTAAGGCACAGCACTAAGAAGCTAAAGCCACTTCCGCATGAGTTCGATTCCTGCCTGCCCCGGAGGTGACCACATGGCGTGGCAGACCTCTCCTAACCGCCCGCTGCTCCCCTCAGCAGTGTACTTCGTCAATCTGCCTGTTCTGCTCCCCACTCTGTCTCCAGTGAATCCTCTCGCCACTCCTGAGCCTCTGGCCTGTACCCCAGTTCTGTATGTACAAATAAATAAATCTTAAAAAAAAAATCTTTACTAGTTGTTTTCACGTGTGGTATTGCTCTTAGTAGCTCCTGTGTAGCTGATGTTTTCCCAGACCTTGTCCAGACCCACTGTCTCCATACATCTTGCTCCCTCTTGTGGTAGAATTCTTAAGTGGGTATGTTCTCTTTTGCTCTTAAAAATACAAGCAGGGCTGTGGGAAAATTGTCCTTTGTTTTCCAGAAGGTGGAGCCACAGCTCAAGCTCAGGGTTTCTCTCTCACGTGTAGACCCTTGTCTGATTTTTGTCTGTTTAGCTTATTAGAGCTTGCTCTTGCAAATGCAGGAGGGAGCACATCCAGAGAACCAATTGGAGCGTGTGGGACGTGAGAATTTAGTACTTGAGGTACTGGAGCTCGTAGGTATGGTGGGAGGCCCCTTCGGGTGAGATTCCCCTAGATACTCATGGGCTGAAATCCGTAACACAGTAGGTGGAACAGTGACCCATGACTGCCCCTTGATAGTCTCACCTGACTCTTTCTCCATCTCCTGCAGTGAAGGAGGTGGGCCCTCAGGTTCTCTGGTTTTTGCTGGGGAGAAATGGGTTTCTCCTGGATTGCCCCACAAGTGGAGATTGAAGGCACTTATTCAACACTCTCCTTTACCTCTGCTGGAGAGGTCAGTCCCATGCTCCGTTGCAGGGCTTAGGGGAAAGCATACTACTGGCAAAATTGTTAATGCCCTTTCCAATGTGCCAAGTTGCTTTTTCTTTCTTTCACCAACAGCATGTTGGAATCTCCTTTTGGGAAGTTTGATTTCTACAGATTGTTTTGTTGGGGGTGGTTGCCTACGTCAGCTACCTCCAGATTTTGCCAGTCAGTTCCTGCTGATTTGACAACCTACACCAAAGTCTGTTATCAGATGCACAGGACTTTGTCACCTTCCCTTGGCATATGGTACAAGATTCCAAAACTCCCATACAGATTTTTCCCTCCCTAATTTCACTTTTCTTCATCAGAATATCCCCCCTTTATCAATGAGATCCAGCTTGCTTTTACTTTTGTTATGGTATTTCACTTTTGTTGTATTTGGTTCTATTTTCATTATAAGGCATCAAACTTAACCTTTCCTGTGCAATTTAAAACAAACAGTTTGGGCCCTCCCTGGTGGCAGAACTGGTTCAGGGCAGCACTATGAAGCAATCTACAGCCACAGCAGCATGAGTTCCATTCCCAGCTAGGGAAGTCACCCACATGTTGTAATGGAACTCTCCTGTCTAGCCTGCAGCTCCCCTCAGCAGTGTTTCAGTAGACCTGCCTGTTCTGCTCCCCAGTCTCTCTTGTAAATCCTCTTAGACCCCCACACATCAGTCTTGTACCTTAATTCTTGTATGCATAGATAAATAAATCTTTAAAAAACAGTTTTAAATAATAAAATGGCTTTCTTCATAAAGATACTGATGACTATCCAAAATACTTGTTGATTTTAAAAATACATGAAACAAATTGAAATTTTACATCATGTATAAGGGCCTGAGAGAAAGGCTAGAAAAATATAAGGCTGTTTCCTGCACAGAGCATGTAGTAACTTGTTTGTTTAGATGGACCTGGAATGAGGAGGAGACTCAGGAGTTTGGGGTCACTCAGAGAAGTGGGTAGAAAGGCAAGATGCTGGCAATGACCTTAAGAGAAGGGTAACCTCCTTAAAGATACCTGTGCTGTCAAGGAAACAGCAATGAAAGCCATATGTCCCCTCCTGGCTTACCAACTTCTCCCTACCAAACCTGACAACATAGGATAATCCACACCCTTTATCTCATAGGATACCTGCTCATGTAAACATTTTACTCAGAACTTGACACATTACAACTGAATGTAACTGGAGTTTTCACTCCCAATCTGTTTTCTCAATGGAAATGGCATATTCAATAATGTTTATTACGTGATTTAAAAAGTTAAAATAGCTCCAAAGTTTATTTTACAATGTGTAATATGTGCTTTAAATTTTATCTACACACAAAACCTGGTACTTTGACAATTTTCTGTTTTTTAATCTGATATCTGAGAGATTTGGTTTCATCTTATTTTGTGAAAGAGCAGGGTGTTGTCAAAGTTGCTAGCCAAGAATTGCTCATATAAAATTTCTTCTTTCGCTCATGTGTTTATAAGTGTGTTGTTTGATATCAACTTATTTGGGAATTTTCCATCTATCTTTCTATGATTGGTAAGTTTTAATTCCACAGTGGTGATGCAGACATAGTATTTTATGGCCTAGAATATGGTCTATCTTGGTGATGGAAAAATTTGCAATCTTCTGTTTGGCCATGTAGCTTATAGGTATCAATTATATCTATTTGACAGATGGTATTGTTTGGATCAGCTATTGAACTCAATAGTTGGATTAATAGCAACCATATTTGTTTACTGTCCTTGTTCTTTGTCACTGTTTTGTCTTACAGATTTTCTGCTTATTGGATCTTCCCATTTCTAATGTAGATAAAGGGTGTTAGTCTCCAACTATATATTGGCTGATTTATTATTCCTTGGAATTAGAATTTTGCCTCACACATTACAAAAGTTTGTCTTAAGGCCCATACAAATTAATGATTGTCATGACTTCTTGGTTTGACTCTTTTGTCACATGTAATGGCCCTTTTTATTCCTATCTTTCCTTAATCCAAAATAAATTTTAGGATCACTATACTTTTGGTTTTAATGTTATCTTTTTTCCATATCTCACTTATTCTGCCTTGTGTTTTTTTAAAAAAGATTTATTTACTTATACATACAGAACTGGGGTACAGGCCAGAGGTGCAGGGGCAGTGAGAGGATTCATCAGAGATAGAGTGGGAGCAGAACAGGCAGGTTGGTGAAGTACACTGCTGAGGGGAACAGCGGGTGGTTGGGTCAGAAGTCTGCCACACCATGTGGGTCTCCTCCTTGGCCTGAAATTGTGTTGAAGCAGCTTCTGCTAGCTTCATAGTGCTGGCTTTAACCCATTGCACCACCAGAGAGGGCCCCTTTTGTGGTTTTGAGAAGATAAACTGCTATTGATGCTTTAGTAATGTTGTCATGAGATGAGGAGGGAGGGAAAGTACCAGTTGTGAGTAAGCCTTAGTCATTTAGTGACCCTGTATTCTGGATTGTGAACTTCAAACATTGTTAGGGCTCATACACTGTTTCTTTATCTGAGTTTGTTTCTTTTTCTGAGTTTGTTTCTAATTGGTCTGCATCTATTGTTATCACACTATTAACTTTTACTAATTGCTAGTTAACCTATTATTTTTGAGAATACCCTGGCGCTTAAATTGCTGGAGTTTGAGTCAATTCAGTCCATGGTAATTTTTGTGGCCTGTCTTCGGCAGGGGACAGAGTGGAGATCCAGAGCTCTTTGTAACTGTTGCTTGGAATAGAGCTTCTCTACCACAGAATTTGGGCTGATGAATAATAGCAGTTTGCTCTTCCATATGGAGAAATTGTAGTCTGGGAGTGGTAACTGGAGGTTGGAGGGGTTCAGGTTTATGGCTCAGATACTACAAAGAATCACTATCCTTATATTTCTAGATTTTCTTCAGCAAATGCTTATTCTTGTTATATACCCCTTTGAAATTTTCCAGATACTTTAATCTAGCAGTGATTTTCACTGAAGATTCTGTAATTCTCCTTATGCTGCCATCCTAAAAGTGTTCCCTGATCATTTAGTTTAGAAGCAATCTGGATCCTTTAAATATGGCAGTATGTTCACAAATGGAAAAAGCTGCTACCAGCTGATTCAACATCAACATAATAAATAAGTTCTTTACTTGTTATTTAAATATATTCCAGAAGTGAAGTGCTTATAATTCATTTACAAGTGCAGTCTATTACACCAGTAAAAGTTACTAGAACTGTTATACAATGTAAATGCTGCATAAAATTTAGTCCTGGAAGAGTTGGCTGTTGAATTTTTATTTCCAATCCAGTAGATTAAAAACACAATTGTGAAATGGTAAAAAGATGTAAGACTCATGTGTGTGTGACAAAACCAATCTAAAAAATAGAGCATTCAGTTTTCCTCAACATAAAGATGCGTTTCATACTGAAAATATTAAATATATCTTTCATTGTGATGCAATTGTATAAAATGCTAGAATATGAACATTAGATGACCAATATATCGAAATCAATAAAATTTAGAAAACACAGCTAATTCTGAAGCAAAATAAAAAGATGAATTACAAAGAATTATAACTGATCTCTAATCATCATCAGAGTCTGAATCATATTTTTTTCCTCGGATAGTTTTCTTTTCCAGCTTTGTGAAATTTGTTCCATATTTCTTCTGGCTTTGAAATGGTGGCTCCATTAAATTTCCACTAAAAAGAAAGCAAATTGGACAGCATTTATTTTTGATGATTTAGCACAGTTGGTATATTAAGTTCACAAAAACTTAATCTTTTCTCTTTATTGTAATATATGGACTACAGCAACATTTGTTTAACAACTGGTACCAAGTAATAGGTATATTATCCACATTGATGGTTACTGTATTTTGGTATATGTATTTTACTGAGTGTACAGACTCCAGTATTTAAAACCTATTCTTTCTTAACCTGATCATTTTCTTCCTGAGTACTTCTCCAATTCCTTCACTTCTTAGTCCACTGGCTGACTCATTCTCCAAGAGTGAGTAAGTCCTTCTAGTCCCTTATCCTTCTCTTATCTCCCTTTCTGAGCTACATAATGTTCTCTTTAAAAAAATTATTTTTTTGACTGAGATAACACTGGTTAACAACACTATCTATGTTTTAGGAGTACAGGTTCACACCCTTCAAATGTATATTACAACAGCAAGTCAATCTTCAAAGTGCAAATAACCCTTCAGGATGTTAATAATTTTAAATCTCATTTGTATGAAAAAATATTTTATTAATTTCTCTATTATCACCAATTACTAGCTTTCACAGGTTGTGCTAACAAAATTTCTGGCTGAGGAAGTCAATGAGTTTTTTCATCTGTTCTGGATATGCTAAGCTTGTATTTCCCTTGTAAAAGATTCTCTGTATCTTAGTCAAAAGATCTTAGTTCCATAAAAGTTAATGCTTTTAATTAAAAGTGGGTTTCATTTTTGATTAAAATATACTCTAGCAATATTAACAGAGAATTAAAACAAATCCATTATTTTGTTAAAACTTACCTATAGTTAATAATATCAGAACAACCAAGCCTCCATTCTAAAGTTTCTGTGGTGAAGTCATCTGTATTTCCTAGGTCAGTAAATCCGACAACATAATCTTGGGTTTTTCCATCTTTTACCAGTGCTAGTGTGGGGATGACTTTGATACGCAGTCTCTCACAAAGGAAAGGTGCTTTTTCCACATTCAGCTTCAAAAACTTGGTCTCAAGATGTTTCTTAGACAAAATCACCAAGTGTCTGTCTAATATTTTACACCTATAAATGTCAATATATAGAAAATCAAAAGTTCAAACAGATTTGTTTTTTAAAAATAAATATAATATTTATATGGTATATATATGATTATAGTTATATGGTACATATAATTTCAGTTTTTGTTTCATAATTCAGCAGTCAATCAAGGCTATGTCAAATGACCTCATTTCTATCTCACAGATTAGTTTTTAAGAGGTAGAAAAACTACTTAGTATTCGAGAAAGTCAAACATGCCCTATTATTATTTATTTAAAAAAACATTTTCATTTAAAGATTTATTTACTGATGCATACAAAAAACTAGGGTACAGGCCTGAGGTGCAGGGTAGGGGTGAGAGGATTTGCCCGATATAGAGTGGGGAACAGAACAGGAGTGAACTGACTGAAATTTATTGCTGAAGGGAACAGCAGGTGGGATAGAGAGGTCTGTTGCATCATGTGCTTCAGCTCCCTTGCCAGGGATCGAACTTGTGCTACAGTGGCCACAGGTAGCTTTAGTACTGTGCTTTAACCTCTTCTGCCATCAGGAAGGACTCCTAATATTATTTATTTATTTTTAAAGATTTATTTCTTTCTGCATACAGAACTGGGGTACATGCCAGAGGTGCAGGGGTAGTGAGAATATTCTCCAGGGACAGAGTGGGGAGTAAAACAGGCAGATCAACAAAGTACACTGCTGAGGGGAGCAGTAAGCGAGACAGGAAAGATCTGCTGCGCCATGTGGGTCAGCTCTGGGGCTGGGGATCAAGTTTGCACTGAAGCGTCTGTGGCTCACTTGCAGTGCTGCACTTTAACCCATTGTGCCACCAGGAAGGACCCCCTAATATTATTTATAAAAGCCAAAATATTACGTAAATGTCTTAAGTCACAAGGGAGTTCATGAAGTTTTTATGAATTCTCTAACATAAACACATACTTTCTGGTATTTCATACAAGGAGCTTAAAGGTTGACAAATCTGAACTTGATGGAATTCACTGGAGATTTTTAAGAGTTAGAAATTTATATATTGTGCCAAACTGAGAAGTCATTAAACATTAAATGGTGTCACTAAGAAGGAATTGTGCAACTGTCAGTAAGAAGCCTATTAAAGTTAAGGGATATATAAATACGATCATGGAGCTAAAGAAATGAAAAATATCAGTATTCAATTTAAGTCACCTTCCACTGAAGACAAAAATGGAAGTGATATTTCCTTTAAGTTAAAATCTAATTTAAATTGGTCAATACTTTAGTGTTTCTTTACCTACTGTAGTAACCTTTATAAGCAAAAATTCCTAACCCTAGGTCTTCATTACCATCAAACTTTAAGATATATACAACCTTTAAGAATTTAAAAATTTAAAAATTCTCTGGAAGTGGAGTTGGAAAACATGTAGGTAATTCTTATGTGCAAAAGTATAAGAACTGTTACTTTAGATGACTAAACGTTACCAAATGTTCATAAATGAGTTTACTAGTAAGCTTTGATTACTTCTTAGAGAAGGTTTTCCTGAACTGGGTTTGGATTCTTCTAGTTTCTGTAAGCTTTTTAACCTATTGCTTTCCTTTCGAATGTATCTTTTCAAACATCATCCATGTTTTTTACTGAAAATGGTAGAGAACAAATTAATAAATGCATGTTGCATGAAGCACAAAAAATATAATAAATGAAACTTTACATGAGATTGTGTCCCTGAATATTTTTACATAAATGAATTCCATAGTTTTTCTGGAGTGATATGGAACCTATTTTAATAAATTAATGGTTGAACAATTTAATTTGTCAATTAATCCATCTTTTGAAATCCAGAAACACATGTTATAGTTAAAATGGCTTTTTGCTTAAAACCTGGGTTTAAATCCTCTTTCATCATTTAGTAGCTAAGCAACAGCAGGTGAGTTAACAAGTCTTGGTCTCTACACAAAAGTATAGCACCTACTTCAACTGTGAAAATTCTAAAATTTTATACATGAAAATATCCAGTCTACTATGTGCTGCAAACTTCAACTCTCTCTCTCTCTCTCTCTATATATATGTAAATATAAAATATATATATATATACTTAAGCCATTAGTTAACTGATATATATGTATATGATTTAATTTTTATATTTAATTTTTTTTCAAGGTAAGTATTCTTGGTGTTCTTTTTATCTCCATCAAGTACATATACTGAGCATCTGTATTTACTGAGCACCTGTCAATCACTGCTGCTCTAAGGCAAGAAACCTAGAGCATAAGAGACACAACATGGGCAACCTTCCGCCCCTCAAAAATATTTAGAAGGGGAAGATAGCTAATAAATAAGCGAGCAAGTAGTATCAATATATCATGTATGCCAAAGGTTAGCAACTTAATGGATATGTGCCAACAGAAAATCAGAGTGTATCATAGTGGCAGATCAGTGGTTTTCATAATACCCTTTTACTTTTCTAATTCCTTCCCCTCACTTGTTCTTGCAGATTTCACCATCTGAATATTTTCTTTCATTTTTATTTTCTTAGTAACGAATCCAGTCAGTCCCTGGAAGTTGCTAACTAGTAACCAAGTAACCAACCTTTTGGATGGTGAATAATGAAGACTACATGAAGTGTATCTCTACCTAAGGGAGGCACTTGCTACTCAGCACTACCAAAATGCTGTCATACTGAATTCCAGGTATGTTATTACCAAGTTTTCTGAAAATTTTTAAGATTTATTTTTATTAGTTTATGCATACAAGAACTGGGTATAGGCCAGAGGTTGGGGGCAGTGGGGAAGAGGGAGAAAAGGTGTGTGTAAGTGAATTCTCCAGGACAGAATGGGAAGCAGAACAAGTGATCTAGTGAAATACACTGCTGAGGGGAGCTGTACTATGTGGGTCAGCTCCCTGACCAGGGACTGAACTCATGCCACAGTGGATGGTAAAAGATTGATAAATAGCTTGACAGCTCTGAGATTTTAATAACTGCGCCACCAAGGAGGTCCCAAGTTTTCTGATTTTTTTTTTTAAAAGATTTATTTATTAATACATACAGAACTGGGGTACAGGCCAGAGGCATAGGGGGACAGGATTCACCAGAGAGTAGGGAGCAGAACAGGCAGACTCTCTGAAATACAATGCTGAGGGGAGCAGCGGGCAGGTCACGAGATCTGTCACGCCATGAGGGTCATCTCCTTCTCCCCCACCCTCTGCCAGGGATCGAACTCTTGCTGAAGTGGCTGTGTTTTAACCTGTTGCACCACCACGGAAGGCCCGTTTTCTGATTTTTAATGAAAATTTCTAAGAAATGAATTAAAAAAAATGGAGTATCTTTCAATTATTAAATGTTGACAATCAAATTTGGGGGGATAAAAGAAAGACTTGAGTTTTCTCTAGTTTAAACTGTGCCCCCAGCTAGGGGCATTTTCATTTTACAAAGGGTTTGTTTCCTTTGAGGGGTTTGCTTCCTTAGAGGGATTTGTAGACCTGCTTACTCTAAGAGAAATCACTTCCTTCTCCCATTGTAGCTTAGTAGTCCCAACTATGATTTGTTGAAAGGCTTGGTAAAGCCATTGTTTCTCCATGAGTTGCTAGCTCATAAGGGGGGACTGAATTAAAAGCTGGTTCAAGGTTTTGACCCCATTTCCAGTGTCATGGCTATATCATAACAATAAGAGAAAAAGCAGATAACTTCTTGAATTAAAGTGAGTATTTCTCAGATGTTTTTCTCAGAGTTCATTAATGAAAATATTGAGAAGACAGTCAATTCACTAGAGAAAATATTCAGAAGACAGTCAATTTTATGGAAATATTCTTCTATATGCAACTGTTGTTCTAACTTAATCTTTAAAATGAGTTGCTTACCTTTAATGTACAGACTTCTAGTATAAAGAAAAACACTTAGCAAGTGGTTCCTTTTAGTTTTCTTAATTTCCCTATTAAGCCAGTCACTACCTAGCCAAACATCTTCTATTTTAGCAAGTCATTGATGAAAACAAAGTTACCTGAATGTGGTATCTCTGTAGAAATGGCAAACCACTTTTTTACTTTCTTTGACTTCTTGAAAAAAGTCTCTCTCACTAGGAATTTCTCTGTATTCCCCATGTCCTTTTGAAAGCCATTCCTATTTTGGAGGGAAAAAAATTTTTACACATTTGAAGTATCTTTTTTACATTTTAAATGTCCAAATCTTCACAATACATTTTGCAACAAAGTTGATTTGATCATGTGGAGAAATTAATTTCTTTTAGAAATTTACTTTCCTATGCTTACTTATTGTCAATACAAAATAATATACAACAGTCACTATTTCCATTGTCTAGGCTTGTATTTAAGGCAATTATCTGTCTTGGTAACTTAAAAATGTTTTCTTAGAACTTCAAAAGTAACATTTTAGACTTGAGAGACTTATTGTGTAAATATCCACTTAATCTTTAAACTTAAAACTAGTTAAATCAGAAGCATTTGATTAAAGTTACTACAAAGCTTTTAAAAATCTTAATATAGTAAAGCCAATTTCAGAGGGTGGGGGAGATGGAGGTGGGAGGAGTTACTGCAACGCTGAGGCTTAGGAGTCCTATATGCTTTTGATGACTACCTCAAGAGAGGCTGGGGCCTCTTCTATACTAACCTCAGGTGGGTAGTTGCCTATTGTAAATAAGTTGCCTATTTATATGGTGTGTAGAAACAATAAAGATCTCCAGTCACCTAATCCAATTTCTAAGCTAGAACAACCATGCCTGACAGGTCTTTCAGCTTACTGGATCTTTCCTATGGCATAATACTTACCACTTCAACTAGAATTCCCTTTTAGACAGCTGTTTACTTACTTATGTATACAAGAACTGGGGTACAGGCCAGAAATGGAGTGTGGACTGAGAGGATTCACTACTAAAGATAAAGTGGGGAGCAGAATAGATACACTGCTGAGGGGAGCAGCAGGCAAGACAGAAGAGGTCTGACACACCAATGTGGGTCCGCGCTCTGACCAGGGATTGAACTTGTCCTGCAGTAGCTGTATATATCTGCATAGTGCTGCACTTTAACCCTGTGCACCACCAGAGAGGCCCTAGACAGCTGGTTTTAACAATGAGGAGCATTTGGCTTGCATGCAGAAGATAAGGGCCCAAGTAACTTTTACCTCTTAATAGGTTTTGAGTTCTAATAACTTAAGTCTCAATGTTATTTATAAAGTGAGCATCATAAAGTAACAATTTCATTTAGTTGCTGTAAAAATAAAGAAATATCCATGAAAATGACTAGAACACTCTGCTTTAAAGAGCATTTACAGATGTCATCTCTAATTTCTAGAAAGGTATTTTCACACTGTATAGCTATAGAACTATAACTGTGGTTGTGGATCCCATCTGGGGCCAGATACTCGAAAGAATAGGTTGTAGGCTTCAAGTCACTCCTTCGATTGCCATTTCTCACCTAGGTCCTCCCTTCTCCACACTGAATATTTCCAATTCCTTTTGATCATTTTTCATATGAAATAATTTTTAGTCTTCTTATTCTTTTGGTTGTCGTCCTCTGAAAAGACTTTATAATCCTTTGTCCTTTTAATCTATAAACTCTCACGTATAATTCCTCAATGCTGTGACATTTCATAACTCCTTTCTTGACTTACCAATGATAAGTGCACTTAAAAAGTATTTGTATTTTGAAAAGTTGCTATTTGTTTTCATTATTCCAATATGTTTAACCAGCAAGTAAAGCACTACCTGTCCAAGTTGCTTAGAGCGAGGCAAGCCCATTCTGAACTTCTACCAATTCATGGTATCGCTCCAAAGACACACACTACAGCCCTAACTCTTAGTACAGTTCCTTTCCCAGAGCATATGTTCTGCAGGTATTTGCTGAAAAGATTCAATCTAGCAGTTACAGACCCCAGTGCAACTGACCCTACCTGAAGCCTAGCAATGGAGCTCTGAACCCTAAATGTATAAGCAATCAAGAACTAAAGATGGTACACATCAGCAGAATACTAGGCCAAAGAGGTAGCCCAGTGCACTTTAGCTGGGGATTCCAGTTATTACCTGCCTCAACTTTACTTTATTATCGCTCTCACCTATAAACATTTTTTTATAACATTTTCTTTTTGTACAACATCATTAGTAAAAGTTTTAAGTATACTGTATCAAGATCTGTATTTAGTTCTGAATTCTATTCATGTATTCCTATATACCAACTTATAAGGCATACTGTAAAACATTTAAAAAAGCAAAAAGTTAAAAGATGAGATCAACAGAAGTTTACATAGTTTCTTCCCTTACTCTGAGATTTACCATCTTATTTTAAGAACAAGTGAGGAGTTATAGTTGGGTGAATCCTAACCTTTTCTAGCACTAACCCTAAGTATATCAAAGTAATACAATACCAATTCTTCTTCTCTCCAAAACTGTGGCTGACCTAGCGCAGCTCCAGTAGGCCCTTTCAAAGCCAAAATCAAAACCAATTTGTAGATGACAAAAGTAAGATGATCTCCCATAGTTAATCATAGGTCCTATTTAAGGATCTATTTCCCAAATCTGGTTGCTCAAAGCAACCAGTCACAACTCTTAGGTGCTATCACAAATCTATAAATCTAAATATCAGGGAGGGACCCCAGAAATCTATACTACAATAATGCCCTACTAGAGGATCCTATCGCAGTTAGCAAGATTTTGGTATCACCCAAGTGGAAACCACAGTATGTTTATCTTTCTAAAAAAGATTCAATGAAAATAACATTGATCTATATAGCATTATTTAGGTTTCAGGTATATAGAATTATAAATGTGACATTTGTACATACAAAATTATACCAAATTAGACCAAAAAATCTAATGGTCTAAAAGTGGTGTTTTCATCCACCCTCTCCTTTTATGTAATTTAACCTCCTATGCCTTCTGACAGCCATCATATATTATTCACATAATCTAAGATTTTTTGTTTTTGTTCGAGCATGCTTTTCTTCTAAGAGGCAGGCTCCAGAATGGAAGTTGCCATTTGATGAAATGGGAAGAACAATGAAGTTCATCATTAGACACTGATCGAATACATTTTTGGGTAATTGATTGTATTTTATGGATATTATACCATTTACCCAAGGAGCCCCTGATTATTGTACACTGAGACTGTACCCCTCATTACAATTACATTTTTTGGGATCTTATCATATATCCATATTTAAATGAATTTTAAACAAGTTCCAATTTCTCCTCAGTGATAAATCTTTCTGAAAATAATCTTGGGCCCAGGCTTCTTCTACTGCACTGTGAATTAATATACTGATTATGTTCATTTTAGATATGTCTTTAAAACACATTTTTTTTCCTCTGGCCAAATTTTTAACAGTGTCTCTTCTGAAGTAAAAATACTCCAAACACGAAGACTGAAATGTAGCTATTGCCAGCACATATATATATGTATGTATATATATATATATAAGTTGTTAGGAGCATACTGTTATAGCAATTTCAGAAAGCAGGGCAGAGAGGTTACTTGTTTCTGCTGTTGAGCTTTCCTTAGTGCCTCAAGTCTTTTTTCTTTGAGGCGCTCCAATTCATCTTCATCCATCTGATCCAGTTTCTGAATTTCAGAATCCAAATGTTCCTCTACTAGTTTGGTAGTCTGAAGCAGCTGATTCTCCAGGACTTTTGAAAACATGTCAACAGATGTATCAGTCTCCATTCTTCTAAAATGTACAACTCAGTTTTGTTGCTAAGGAGAACACTAGATAAAAATGATAAAATTAGGGGGAGAAAGGTACAAGCAGTAAGTTTTCACTCTTGTATTTACAAAAATTTCTAGCAAATATATAATTTGTATTTCACAGTGTTCTGTTATAACCAAAGAATTCATGTTAGACTTAAGAATTTTTACTGAAATGTTTTAAATTTTCAGTAATTTATAGTGATACCATTTAAAAACTATTTAAGGCAAAGTTGAAATGCTTCTGATATAGTTGTTTCACTATAGTAAGGCAAGGACAAGTATTTAAGACCATCAGCAGACCAGACAGAAAACAGTTGAGTTATACCTTGTGCTCTTTACTAAAAGAAAAGGGAAAGAGTATAAATGACTGTGAACAATGATAGGGTTTAAGTGTAGTGAGGTTTTACACAGACCCGTACCAAACTTTGTTTCAATACAGAGACAGTTCTTCATGGTCTCTGCCTAAATGATTTTCATTTAACTACCAAGAGGTCTCATGCAATTTGTGTAAACAACAGCATATATTATTCCTTAAGCATTAGTTTTCATTCCTGTTCTCACATTACTTATCAAAATCTATACAGCAACAAAGAATGATATGGGTATTCATTTACCTACACTCAGTTAATGACGTAAGGCAATATACTATTCCAAATGTATTTAAAAATGTTATTTTCCCATTATCATTCTTCTGTATAACAGGGAATCTAATTCAAGTTAGAAAAGATCTACCTAAAATTATATATTTTAAAAGGAATGTAGTAGTTATTTCCTACTAGCAACAGATAGTAAGTTTATGGTACCCCTGGATTATCACAGAAAAACGATCTAAAATTTGCTGACCAAAGCAGGAAGATGGTGCATTTCAGTAGACTGGGATACCATGATAGGTTCTTGGAAAGTTCACATTTAAGCAAAAATAACCAAAGCAGTTTCTCAAAAAGTAGTTCTGTTCTGCTTTGGTAGGACTCCCACCTCCTCCCGCTTCAACCCCCAGAGCATTAAAACAAAACAGTTTTGAACAAAACCATGTTATTCCACAACATGCTGTACTACAAACAAACAAACCTTTTAAAAATCTGAATAAACACAGCCTGACCCACATGGACCCTTTATAAATGTTGAACCTAGGAGAAACTGTTCCTGCGGCAACTAAAAAAAACAAAACTTGCTTAGTTTCTGTTCAAATTTTCCTTAAATTTCAAAATTATTTGAGTTTAAAAATAACGGTAGTCTGTTATAAAATGCTAATGGGACTGTATTTCACATATAGGGAAATAATTCCTAAGAAAAATGGGTGTGACCCTCAAGACTGGATGAGGCAGAAAACTGGTGTTAAGTCACTGACTTGCATGCCAGAACTTGTTTCTTTTTATTAGCTGCATAGCTAAAGTTTACGCTCAAGTTTTATGAGTTCAGAATTTATTTCTGGATAACTGGCAGCAGCCGTGTTTTAGAGCTGTTCTGGGAGGTGGGAAAGGTAGTGCAGCTGTCCAAGGTAACTTCTTATTCTTCAAAGGCTTAGCCTCCAATTCTTCCTTTAGTTCAACTGCCAACAGTGAGAAGGGAACTGTCCTCAAATTATCTAGCCATTTCCTTAATCCCCGACGTGCAGCCACCAAAAACAACCAAGGGTCCTTATCCTTAAGTATCCTAGCCATTCACTGGTCACCCCTCCCGGGACAGATGAGGGCAGAAGCAGGCCCCCGACTTCATCGACTTCCGGGGCGCATGCGCCATAGCCTCCTCCGCAGCATTAACACCCGTCCGAGCCGCGCCCCTCCCCCGCCCAGTTCGGATTTCGCACGGCGGCGTGTCCGACAGCACTGGGACACGGTGGCCAGTTTTTCCATACCACTCTCTGCCTTACCTGTGCTCTCGGTGATATCCGAGAAGTGAGGGACCAACCCTGCTGCAGAACAGTACACTCAGCCTTTAACTGGCAGCGCCTGCCGAGGCTGCGAACCGGTCGTCACTTCCGCCTCCTTATTGGCTGAAAGACTCACGCGACACAACCTGCGACACCCAAGGAAGTCGGAGCGGGGGAAGGGGCGGGCGGCGGCGAGAATTTCTGCGCATGCGTCACCCTCCCCCACAGAGGCAACCCCAAAGTTTCCTACACTTTTCTTGTATTTTTGGATGGACCGTGCTGCTGACGAGAGCGTAGAGTGTGCTGAAGTTGTCATTTCTTACTGCTCAGCCTGGAGTTGTCAGACTTCCTCACATTCTTGAGTGTTAGTAGCCATGCTACATCAGACAGGAGAGCTAAGATCTTGCCTAGGAGTAACACTCTAGCTTCGTGTCCATTCTGTTTAATGAACATTTCTGCGTTTAAAACCTGTACTGTGTCACCGTCCCGATGCAAATAGAGTTCCTTCACAACTCTAGAAGGTTTCCTCGTGACATCCCTCACAACAAATTTTAAAACTTATTCTCTCACTTCGAATGTAAAAATGAAGTTTATTGGGGGGGAATAATGGATTTTTTAAAAGTGATTGGACATAATTTATGGACCGTACCGAGAGGTCCACTTTTGCCTGAATTTATCTCCTTTGGGAAACCCAGGGGGTTCATAATTGGTCCGTTTCTTTACTGCATGTAGCTGAGATCATGAGGTACAGCTGTTGAAAGTAGAAGGGAAGTAAGGGCTACTGCTGACCGGGCTCGTCCCCCGAGTTTACTTTCCACCGCGAGGAAGGTGTGGAGGGCTGCAGCCGCGGAGGTTTTTCAGCCTCATTGTCCACTGTCGGTTCTAGAACACCCGCGAGAGTCGGTGCTCGGAGGATGCTTGACGGAAGGGGGCGCTCGGGCTCTCGCCTAGCTGGCGAATCAACAGGAGACGCTCTACCTGAAGCGCCGCTCTCGATGAGCCGCGCCCTGCGTCCCCACGCCGAGGCGACGGGGCGATGCGCTTGCGCACTGAGCGCACACACCATATGTGCCCTGTCCCAGTGCGCGGGTCTGTGGAGAGCCGGGTGCGAGAGACTGCAGCGCGCGGGGAACGGAGACCAAAGTCGGCCGGGGAACAGTGGGTGTGTGAGAGACCGAATCAGAGGGACTGGGGCCAGGAGCGCCGCTGACACGCGATGGGGAAGAAGCAGAAAAACAAGAGCGAAGACAGGTAGCCAGTGACTGGGACTCCACCGCGTCTCCGTGGGTCTCGCGGCGTCCCACAGCGCGGGTGGACCAGGGTCTAGGCTCAAGACCGGCCCCGCGGGGCGCCAGGCTTGGACCCCGAGTGGGAGGCGCGGGACCTAGACCCCAGTCTGGGTGGGTGCCGAGGGCCTCGGCGGCGGGCCGGTCCTCTCAGCTTCGTCCCACTGCCACCCTTGGTCAGGCCTGAAAAAATTGGGGTTCCAGGCCTTAGGAGCGGGGTAGTTGTTTTCTGTTCGCGGTCCCGAGCTGGGCCTACGTGGCCCAGGTGAGTGGGAGTTATTTTTGAGGCGCTAATATTGGCGAGAGTCAGGAAGCGTTTTTTATGCCCTTTACCTGTGCATACTTGGGAGAGGGAATGGAGTTGGAATTTGATGTATTTACAGCCAGGTTTCTCATACTCAGATGCTCAGGGACGTTGGCGCTACAGAGCGGTGGTTTAAAAACTAGTTCCCACTTACTGTCTGTACGGTTCTCGATTACATCGGGGGGTGGGTCACCCAGACACCATGCTTTTTTGCTCTCCTACTTCCGGCCTGTCTTGGTCATTCTTTGCTCTTTAACACCTTTAAGAAAGCAGAAGATGAGACAAACTTGTAGGGTCGCTCCTGCAAAACTTCAGATGGGGGGGGGGAGTGTAGGGGTTAATTTAGAATTACTTAGCTGGCGCTTTGGGGAACATTTGTATGTGTCACCTTCGAGTGAGTTCTTTTCGAAAGAGTTTACTTCCTAGGAGTGAACATCTGTTACTTTTCACCTTTTGTATTCTACTCACCAAACTTAGTTTAAATAGTAAGGGGAGTGAAAGATAAATTAAATAGAAAACCAAAACCAAACTGATAATTCATCGTTCTGACTCAAAACAGATGTGTCTTGAAGTTAAACTACTAATTATAAGTTGGAATCCTGGATTGTTCCCGCACCTGGTATTTTTCGAGCTGTTGAGGGGAATTAAAAGACTAGGACGAGTCTTGTTACTTCAAATACAGGTGTATTAGAGGAACTTAATTGACTTTAGAATAGAACTTAGGTTAACCAAACCAGATAAATAAGGAAAAACAAGTAGAATTTCTCTTTATTTTTAACCGGATTTTCTAATCCATAGGTTACTTTTTTTTTTGTGGACAAAAAATAGATGAGTGTAACGAAGTTTAATGTACCAGTTGCCCAGCTTCATATTGTTGTGATTTAATCTATCTGTTTCATCTACTTGCTGGATATTTTAGAGCAAATCTTAGAACCCTTCAGGTGTAAATCCTTCAGGAGTATTAGATAAATATTTGAGGGGAAATACCACAGAGGGGAAAAAAATTAAAACCAATATGTAATCAACAAGCCTTAGAAATATTAATGACTACTTAAATATTATCAAGTGTCCAGTTTTATAATTCACTGATTGCCTTGTAAAATTTTTTATTTCTTAAGTATTTATTTGTTTGGTTCAGGATTGCAGGGGTTCGTTCTTGGGATGAAGTAACATGCCTGTTATTCTTTCACTTCCATTTTTTTTTTTTTTTACTTACCAGACTCAACCGTGGAAAAAAGCTGTTTAAGATATGTATTGTCTGTGTACTTTTAATGAAAACTAAGTTATTGACTTATTAAAATCTTCATGGATGATTTGAACTTTAAATTGCAAACACTGGCATGCCTGTTAAATGATTGGTTTTGTAGTATGAAAGGAATGTTACTAGGTTTTTTGTTTTCCCTTAAGACTAAGGAGTTTCTTATTTTTGGGGTAATGTTGAAAAGAAACTGGTAGCATTTAATTGATAAACACATGTATTTTCTCAGACTTATCAAGTGTGTTTTTTAAACTACTGTCCTTTGTTTGAAGGCCTTTCACACTGTGCCTAAGGAAGCCTCAGGGTTTGCAGAGATTCTCCCATTGACCTAAGCTTCTTTGCCTTTTTTGGCATTCCACTTAAGATATTTTGGAGGGAGGGAGAAACAGAAATTCCAAGGCTTTGTGTGTTATTTTACTTTGATCGTTTTGTATATTTGAGAAGTACTTTTTCCTCAGGGCACTTAATTATTGGTCAGACTGGGAGAAAAAAGTATAAAGGGACAAAGTCCTATTTTAGGATTAAAATTCTTATTTTTGTAACATGAGATACCTAGCCATATTATCTTCTATGAAGATCCCCATGTTAAAGATACTATATTCCTCCACCTCACTTTCCCTTCCAGCTGTCCTAACCCAAGTGTATTTCTGACCAGGTAGTACTGGGTGAGAAATAGTCAGCTGCTTATTAAGCTACAGTATTGGGTTACTTTTTAGTTTTGGGAAAGAACAAAATACTTGATTTTTAAAATTTTAACTACTTAAATCTCATGCTAATTAGATTTTAATAATCTATATTCTAATTTTATTCTGATACCCTGTGTTTAGCCTTTAAGTTTCAGAATTTTGTTCTAGCTTGTCTCATTCTGAGAATGAGACTTTGATAGGGTTTTCCAGTTTTCCTGCCTTTTTTCAGGTGGCTGGTGAAACTCTTGATGAGACAAGGAATAGTTCAATTTATCTACAGACCTTCCATTTCATAAGGCAGTATTTTTATTCTTCCTGTAACCTGTCCAGTCATCAGTTTGTATGATGAGATCTTATTTTATGGAATCTTGTATTCTCTAGCAGTGTCCTCTTATTTCCAATTACATACCATGATGTTTGTTCTCTTACTGATGCATAGAACAAAAAAATGGGTTATCCTTTTTTATGGTATCCTCCCATCCTTAGTTTAGCTTTGTGTGTTTGGTTCTCTGTGTGTGTTACTTTTCAGGTTGAATGTTATGGTTATTAATGGAAATAATACAACAGTTTATAGAGTGAAGGAAGATAATTATTTTACCTATCCCACAGTCAGATATGGAGGTTGGGATACCATGAAAAAAACTAGAAAGTTTCAGATTCAGTAGAGTTCTGGGATGTTTTCAGTCTCACGTTCTTTATTGTGGTTCTCTATACTAGAGTTGAGCTGCGGTATAGGTGATTCCACTTCTCTTTGCTTTTAACTACTCATGATGTCTGTCATTACTGGTAAACTCCCTTTTTTCTTGAGAGTTCTGGCTATCTCTGAAACAGCTGTTTCCTGTAGATGGTTGCCTTCTGGTCGTACATGTCTCAGTCAGGTTTGATCAGTGTAGCAAGGTGGAAACCAAGATGGTCTACTTAAGGAACCTGTCCAGATTATGTGAATTTGTGTGTGAATTTAGCAGGTCCTCCAAAGCTTCCCATAGAGGGAGTCCCAAGTGACAGGCAAGTAGTCCAAATAGTCTAGTTCAACAAAGTAATTGATTCCTCAATTTATATATTTGATTTTTTAAAAACCCTTTATCTGTATAAATTATAAAAAAGAAAAAGATTATAACCCAAGAGCTCTCTTGACTTGTTCCTATACAGATTCTTTAGGAATTTATGTGGAAGGAGAAATATTCGTTTGAGGTAAAAGAGTAAGCAGATGCTAAACTTCAGATGAACCTCTCCCACCTTCTATGCTGGTGACCTCTGTGAGGAGCTGATAATTGTCCACTAGTTGTGCTTTATTTACCCTTCTGAGTTTATTCCATCCTTGCTGTTGTATGATAAGGTTGGCAAATTATTGTTGAACTGAGGAACTAACAGTACTTAGGTTTGAGAAGCAGTTTCAAACTTCTGTCCTAGGCCCCTTTATATTCTTAAACTACAAAGAATCCCCCCAATTTTTTCTTTTTATGTCTGTCAATATTTACCATACTACAAATTAAAACTGAAAGCTCTTGACGTTATTAATTTAAAAGTAAAGCACGTTAAATATAAATAAAAATAAATTTTTTAAAGTATGGCATTTTTAAAATATTTTGGGAACCTTCTTTATTGTTTGGCTTAGAGGAAGATAGCTTTTCATCTGCTTGTGCACTCATTCTTCAGCAATATCTCACAGCATGTAGCCTTTGGAAAATAATCACTGTATGGATGTGAGAAAATGATTATGACAAAGACCCCTTAGTATTACTTGGAAAATTATTTTGTCCCCTTGAGTTAATTGAGAACTGCTGGCTTATGGATTCTAAAGCACGACCTAGGCATTTGTGAAACATTTCAAGCTGTTTGACCATCAGGTGGTTTTGTTTTACAAGTGTGTAGAATGCTTGAGAATCACCTGAGGACAATTTAGCACATCTGTGGACATGTTAATACTATTGATAGTTTCTACTCTTGAGGTTTTCTCTTTCAGTGTAATAGGTGGATTTATCAATATCTATTTTAAAAATCTGTGGGATTGATCTTTAATTGGGAATCCCATTAAGTTTTTATATTACTTGGTGCACTTGACCTCTTCATGGTATTGAATCATTCCTTTCGAGAAATATATTGATTGCTTAAGCACTTAAGTGCTAGGTAAATTTTTAGGTGATAAAAATATGGGTGAACAAGTTAATAATTATTTTACTGATAAAAATTCACATTAACCAATAAAGTTGGTTAATGTGAATGTATCAGTAAAATTTATTTTCTTATTTTGAGTTTTTAGATAATTATTTGGCTTATTCCTAAAGAATCTTACAGTTTTGGTTGCTGTTAATATAGTAGCTTTTTATTTATTTATTTTTGGTAAATAGACTTTCTTTTCAAGTTTATCTTGTGCCTGACCGATTAATTGAACTTACTACTACTAGAATAACTGTGCAAAAAGTGAGGTCTAAATTGTGGTTAGACTATTAATTTGAGGTAATATGTAACTGCGTAGTAAAGGCTTGTGAAAAATGGAGAAAACTAAGCAGCATAATGGCAGTATACAAATGTCTTAGTGACATACAAATGACTCCTTCCTCCTTTTCTGATTTATGCCTGTGACACTAAGAAATTGTTACAAAAGATAAGTGTATTTTAAACTCTTATTAAATAGTATTGACGTAGTCACCGAACATTGCTTACGCTAGCAGCCACTAGAATATATATGTAATTTTATTGATAAAAACCTCTTAGTA